AGAGAGTATTGTTTCTGGTCCCTTTCTGACTTCGCTGACTCATTTTTCCCAGAAAGGGGAGAGATGGGAGTGTAGGGTTTGAGAAACACATGACCGAAGGCCAACATCATCTGCTGGGAGAAACAGGTGTGGGCTGTTCAGGCTTGCTTTAACTTGATTTGTCATAGAGGTGCTTGAAGAAGATTTTGGAGAAATTTAGTTCTCTCTTAAAAATTACTTTGAATTTGCATAGAAGGAAAAAGTAGGAGTGTCAGCCCAGGTTTTTATGTGGACTTTGACTCCAGTGATGTTACACCAATTTTTATGATCTGGACATTATAATTTTTTGAAAACTAAAACACTAATTGGAGCATTGTTACCAAGTCATTATTTTCATTATTTATTGATATTTTCAAATATTTGAAATTATTTGAATTATTTTCATTATTTGAGTAAATCTCCTTTAAGAAACATACTGTGTCTCAGCAGATGGCACGTTTTTTCATAGGAAACTGGTGGAACCAGGTTCCCATTTTGAACCTGATCAGTAAAGAGCCCTGCAATATACTTTTAGTTCCATGTTGTTGATGTACAAGTTTAGATAACAGAACTTGCATGAAGCATGAATTCTCAATATTCAGAACTGGTAGACTGAACCCAGTGGAGTAGACATGTACCTTTTAAAATTGATTTTGGTTTTGTTTTCTGTCCAATTTTTGGAGTAGACACTTGCATCTTTTTGTGCTACAGACATGAGGATGTTTCTAGTGATTTTGCCATTTTAGTATTGCAGCAAGGTTTAGGACCCAGCTGAGAGGAGGAGTTGATACAAGAACACTTCTGAGCAGTGCATGCTCACTTAGAGACCTACTTTATGATCAGTCCTGCAACAGAAACAATTGCATAATTTACTTTGCAATACGAGCCCTGACACAGATCTCCTGGAGCTTCTGGAGGGGGGTGCAGGTTGGGGTGGCAGTGTATTAGTAGGTCTGCAGGATGATTAGTTAATTTCTTTTTTTTTAAGCAGTGATCATTAAGAAGGTGTGCTGGTGGAAAATCAAGTTGTGCTCTGATAGACAAAGCTGTGAGCCCTTCTCTTCACATCCTTCGCTAGTACAGTTTAGGATAATTAACTATGTAAGTCAATAGTCTGTTTTGAAATCCCCTGAGTCTTTCAGATCACAGAAGTGGGCTTTGTGTCAGGCCAGTGTATTAAAGCCCTCATGTTTGATTGTGAAATCAGCCCAGCTAACCTTTTTATGTGACAACTCCCTTGTTTTTCAATGTATGAGATAGATACATATACATATATATATACACACACACAACTGTCTGGGCTATCATCAGTCCTCTCCAGTGGCCAGTCTTGTGGTTCTGATGACATGAACTGGGAGTGAGAAGATTTCCCCACAGAAGCCCCTGAATCTAGTACTGCTTTGTGTCACGGCAGACACTTAGAGAAAAGGGACATTAATTCTGCATGTTTGCCTCTGAACAGTGACCACATCTCTGTAAGCCCCGGAGAGCTGAGAAGCTGTGCTCGTGCAAGAAAGCAACCGCTCTGCCAGATTAACTCTGGCTGGAAGCTCACACAAGCTGTTCTGATGGGGAGATGAAGCTGCTTGGATGAAACTCCAGGCAGAATCTTTACTGTTTTGTTGCATGAAAGAATTTATGTTTAATAAAACCAGGAGCCTTGGGATGGAGGGACAGCATCTGCAGTGACAGTTTCTGTCTTACTTTTGGTTTTTTTGTTGCTTTCTCTCTGATTAGTTTATGTTCCAATAAATTCTTAATACAACAACTGCTGTAAAAACAATTGAAAATAAAATAAAAAAAGCAGTTTAAATTGCTTATGGCTCGCTTTGTATGGCTTACAGGCATTTGAGCAATTTTGCTAACAAGTATCCTGTAACCTATTTCCAAAGGCCACTTGCAGATAATTATATTTGGTTAATTTACATACTTTCAGTTTATAATCCTAATTACTTCTCCAGCCAGTAGTCCCTAGGCAATATGTAGTCTTACCTCATTTTATTTGCCATCCCTAATGTGCAAGTTCTCTTCTTTTAATTTACAAAAAAACGCTGTTAGGTTTGGTTCAGGGCTTTCCCATTTCAGTGCACATCTGAACCGGGTGATTCCACGCTGATTTAAACCCTATTTGCAAATAAGTATTTTACCTTTTTCAATAGATCTTAGGTCTTTGACACATTCTGCAATGTAGCGAAACTGACCTCGGTTTGACACGGAACCTGTTTTCGTTGTAAAGAATCGGACCGAGTTCTGCACCAACCTGTATCCAGGGTTGTCCCGTTGACATCTCCGGTTCCCCGCGGGGGCACGTGGGGATGGGGCCCGATGTGCTGGGCTGCTGCCATGGCAGAAGCGGAGATGTGGCACTTAGTGCCGTGGTCTAGCCGATGTGATGGTATTGAGTCATAGGCTGGACTTGATGATCTCAGAGGTCTTTTGCAGCCTCAACAATTCCGTGATTCTATGGTGCGGGGCAGTAGGAATGCGAAACGGCTGGGTGAGAGCCTCCGGGCTCTCTAAGGGGCTCTGGTAAAACCTCTCGGGCTGCTTCACAGTTGCTTGTTTCACTTTTGTATATTTAGGATCTCTCTCTGCATACACACTATCCTGGGGTCAGCTATTGCCCCAGCTTGATGACACTTAGTAAAGCAGCTGACGTGGAAGGGAAAAGGAGGGTTGGAATTAAAGTTCATACTTTCAGGTGAGCAGCACTTGGAATGAGCCTTCCCAGTGAAGGAGCACATCTGCAGGTGCTGATCCCTGCTGAGCCTGAGTAACTGGGGTTGAAGTTGAGTGTCCAGCCAGGGTCAACACACCACAGAGTCAGCATCGTGCTGTGGGACAGGACCCCATGCCCAGGCTGTGAGGATGACTCTGGTGCTCTGCAAGGGGGTGCAGCAGTTGGTGGAGTGTTGCATTTCAGGTAAAGCCTGGAGTAACACAGGAGATGCAATCTCCACTGTCACATGGAGATTTCTTACATTAGATATCCTGCAGGCAACTAGAACAACAATTTCAGTTGTTAGCTTTTAAGTACTGGCATATGAACCATACTGCAATTTTTAGAAAAGCTGTTGGATGGAATATTTCCTCTTACGTGCCAGTTGTCTTTCCAGTCTGATTTATTTCACTGTAAATGAGGGCAGATTTGGGCTAACATTGTGATAATTTCTAGTGTTTCCTTGCAAGTAATAAAAAGACCCCCAATCTCCCTTTTCAACACCCCATCAGGTACTTTGATAAGGCAATGAAAAAGGGTGAGTGGAAACTGAGAAAGGAAAAGGAAAAAGGGCACTTTGCAAAGCTTTTGCCCAAATTTCCAGGATAACAGATGGATTCTGTGAACTGATGCTAGTTAACGAATCATAATTCTAAGGGAGAGGTGATTTTTCACTGACCAAAAAACCAACAAATGTTTGGCGAGGAAAAACTCAAAGGTGTGAGAATAATTCTTGGCCAATAACTTTATTTCAGCATCTTAAAGAATGTCAGTTTTATACTGTTGATGCTTCGGTGTAATTTCGACACATCACACTTGAATTCCCAAATACGTTTCTGCCGTTACACACATGCATACAATGCTCAGCATTTATAGAACTGATGCCTAAAGGAACCTGTGAAGTTATTCCAAAGGAGTCTATTTTTATGAGAACACCTTGATGACAACTCTTCCTCATTAGAGCATTTCCAATCTTACTCTAGTATTGCCAGGTAGGCTGAAGATGGCTTAAACCTCTGCTCAGGGATTGTGATTCCACACTAATCCCAGCTCTGCCTGTCCATCTGAGTTTCTGAATTTCAGGAGAGACACTATTGTGCTGTGGCTGTTGGGATGAACAGAATGTGAACTTAAGAGTAAAGCAGATTTGACACAGAGATAGCAAGAGTCTTACATTAAAGGCAGTGTGTTCTGAAAATCACATATTTTTCCTGCTGTACCACGCACGATAATGGCTGGGAGTGCATGTCAGGTGAAATCCTGGCTCTAGCAAAGTCAGTTGAAAATCTTCCACAGGCTGCAGGAGGACTAGTACTTTATCCCAAAGGAAAATATTGTTTGAGGATAAATTTGCAGAGCCTTATTGACATGAGTGCCACATTTCAAGGGGCAGGGACAATTTACATGGGTTTAAGATGCATTTTCAGGTATGTAAGAGAGTTAATTGTGGAATATGGTTGATACATTCACTGCTAATTCAGTGCCAGTCCACAAAAGGAGCTGAAAAACCCCCAACACAGCAGTTGTTTGCTTCTTGATAACAGATAACACAGGCACAGAGAAACTGTTAAGCTCTCCCCTTCCAACTTTTCGCTTCTGTCATTAAGATTATAATTTTTGCTCTGTATAGTTATGACAGAAGAGTCCGGAACAAAATCCTAGAAGGGTTTGGAAGGAAGTTTTCTGTGGGGGCAAGGGAAAAAGGAGAGAGGATGGAGAATCTGGGAGCTATTCATAATGTGTCTATGTTAATTCAGCAGAATATTCCAACTGATATCTGAATATTTAATTAGAAATAGAAAGCAAACAAACAAGTGCAATACTTCTTTGACATTTAGTTTTTGTCTTTTTCACCATCTCTCTTAATTTTTATGTTTATGTGCTTTAATTTATAAGTGCTTTATTTTATCTGTTGTCTCTTTTTAACGCAAACCATGGATGGTTTTTATATACTACTAAGAAATCACAAAACAGGAGAGCAAAGTCCTATTTCTTTTGCACTTGCAAGTCATCTTACACGCCTTGTGAGCTGAAGATATGCATTGCTTGATTCTACTCTCGATCTGCCTTGTATTTCTCTCTTGCCTCTTCGCTCCATCTCTCCTTACCTCAAAAAACCCCCTCAATCCAAATTCCCCCCCCAAATCGGGATGCAGATTACTCTGTTAGGTTCTCCAGGCATTTCTGCAGCACAGGAGCTGTGCTCAGGGAAAGAATGCTCTACATGGTGAAACCAGAAGGCAGTCAAAAGAATTTAAAATAGTTTGAAATATAAAACAATAATTTATTTTGCTTCATTTTACTTGTTAACGTTTGTAGCTAAGGATGATTTCATGGAACTGCTTTTATAATTCAATACATTCAAATCTATATAGCAAACAGTTACTACCATGGGCTTTTCAAATTCCACAAACTGTCTTATATAAACAAATTAGCTGTACATGCACTTTTTTTCAATAGGCTGCAACATTTGCAAACATGCTTTAAAATCCTTTAAAGCTGCAGTATAGTGTACTTTGCTTCAGGCTTTTCAGATGAAACCTATATACTTTCTTCAGAAACCTTAAAAAGAAAAATGTTTAAATGTTGAGCATAACTCTAAAAACTGTTGTTTGATAAATGTTAAATATTACAGGAGAATGACTCCGAGTTGAAACATTGAGCTAAATATTGGTACGGCACTCTGTGTAGAAGTGAACAACAGTAAAATAATAGCACAAAATATGGTTTCACAAAAAAAAATACGTATGTGCAGTTGCTCTTGTGGGGTTTTTGCATCTTTTTTTACCTAAAGAAAAGCACGGGTACCTTTTAATATGAGTATAGTTTAAGCAAATTACCTGTGTAAGTATGGTTAATACATTTCTGATATTTAAACACTTCATGTAAAAGGTAACGAGTAAAAAAGTACAATCAGTAATCCAAAAAGCGCTGTTAATATTGCCTTTGAAGGAGACGGGCGAGCTTCCTCTCCACTTCCAAATGGAGATCCCGGCACCCACAGTTGTAGAGTTCAGTATTTGAACTATAAACTCGATGGCTGCATCTTATATACAAAAATCTTGCCACATTGAACGAGGCATTGATTTCTACCCCAATGGTAGTGTTTTATGTACATAATTTAGCAAGGGTGATTATACAGTAGTCACTGACAGGAAGGAATTGTACACCCGTGTGCCGTCCGGTGACTTTGTTCCGTGGGTTAGGAGTTCTTGGATTGTCATCCAATTGTCAAATATTTTTTTATTTCTCTTCTTCATCATTTTTTTGTGGCTCAGTTCAATGATACTCATCTCTTTCTTTTCTTCCGCACCTTGCTGTTCCTTTAAGCAGTCTAACCTGCTCTGCATCATGAACTCACGCCGCCGCCTCTGCTCCTTCGCTTTCACTAAATGCTGCTTCCGTTCCTCCTTGCTCCAGTAACGACCCATCTTCATTTCACTTATGGCATCATCGTCGGTGGTCATCCCGCTGCGCTCCTCCTTGATCTTTATGGCGCGCTCCCTCAGCAGCCTGTCCCTGACCGGCCTCTTTGTAATGTAGCGGGTCCCGTCGCTCCTGACCTTGACTTTCCACTCCATCCTCGGTTCGCTCTGGCTCGAGTTCAAGTCTTTGCACATACTCACCAGGCTCATTTGGCTCTGGGCGTACTCCACCGCTGACTTCTGCTGGATCAGCTGCATGTAGCTCTGATAGTGTTGGGCGTGGGCAGGGATGTGAGCGTGCTTGTACGGAGAGTGATGGTACGGGGAGACGTAGGAGCCAGAAGGTTTCTGACCATGAGTGGGGCTTTTGCTTCCATCACTGGCTTTTCTCTCCTTGCTTTCCAGCTGCTTGCTGGGGTCGGGGTCTTTAGCAGCGGCATGGCATTTGCCAGTGCTGGCTTCATGACTTTCTGAGCTAGCAAATAAATTCTTTTGGGAGACGCTGTATGCCACTGCCCCCTCGTTACCTTGACAGTTAATGCCTTCTGCAGTTCTGCGCAGCGAATTGTCAGGGGAGATCTCCAGCGTGAGCGGTGTGCTCCGGCAGCTTTCGCCGGTGTTATACGCGCTCGAGCTATCCTTGTCAGACTTCTCCGGGAGCTCCGTAATGTCTGAGAGCTCGTGCCTGCGAACGTCAATGCTCGTGTTATAGTTGCGGAACCCGCTGTTATGTAGCATCCAGGGCTCCCGGTACTGATCTTTCAGCTGCTGCATTTTATGAGCTCTCACAATATTCAGGCACTCCAGCTCAATGTTGCGCAGCTCCTCGTTCAGCATCTCCAACTCTCTGTCAACGCTTTCTTGGTCGCTTTTGCTCATATCCAGCATGCTGTTATGATAATACAGACCGTAAGGGTTGGCAGACTTCACCTGGCACTTCAGCTCCAGCAGCTCCCGGAATCGCTCGCATTCGTCTACGGGGATGCCAAGGAAGTCGACGTCTGTGCAGTCGGCTGAGATAAACGACTCGTTGCTGAACTGCATATCGCCGCTTCCGAGGGTGTCGTGGCTGTACGTCAGCTTCTTCTGGCTCCCTAAAGTGTTGGAGGCAGTGGTGTGATCATCCGCGTTGTTCTCCTGCTCGGAGCTCTCATCGTTGCGAGTGCTGTCGTCTGTGCGCCCCACGCCGCTGTCCTTCTCGTGCTGGTTAGATAAAATAGTGGCTGTGTCTGTGGTTCCTCCATCCTCCTCGTGCTTCTTCTAGCAGCAAAAATGAAAAGACAGAAAGGGAAATTACTGCAAGGACATAAAATATTTCAGGGTGTTCATTTTTTGGTAGTTTTCTTAATCTGTCACTTGTTACACTTTCTGCAGCTTTGTCGTTTACTTGTATGGAAAGAATATTACTAAGAACTTGCAGAAATGGTGACCGAGACCACAGCCTCCTATGGGTGTCTTTTCTAGAAGAACTCAAGGGGTCTGCTTTTCAGTTATATAGCAGCGATGGTAGAAGTCACATTTTCAGGATGTGTCTTCTCCCGTTGAGGTGCACAAAAGTATCCAGTTCTACTGCTGTGCTGAAGTAAGAGAACGTCTCTTCCAAAAATGTGGATGCCACAGAGGAGGGCAGAGTTTTAGAAAACACTACAAAAAACTCTAGACAAAAATCGAAAAACTATTCATGAACTTGTATGACTGCATTAATCGTGGCAGAATGACAGGGAATACAGGCCCAAATCTGTGGCCCTGAATAAGCGTTGCTATAAGAAAAGCTTCTCCTTTGTCTTTCTCCGCATACATACACCTTACTTCAGTCATTTGCTCAAGTGCCCCCTTTGGATTTTAAGGTTTTGGGAGACAGGCTGTTTTCAGTATGTGTGCGCACATCAGATAAGAAATTGTATAAGTTATCCCTCTGCCTCCTCTATCTCCCCCACACAGTGATCACTGCCAGATTTCTAAGAACTGTGATCAGGTTGTCGTAAGGGGCAAAGTAAAAAAAGGGAACACTGTAAAACATTTCGGTTCCTGAGATGAAGTCTGTGGATAGTCGTGCAATATCTTGATTTTACAGGAACTTTCTTGCCTCAATCGTCATTCGGGACAATAAGTGTATTCAGTCAAGCTCAGTAGTGAAATATCGAGTGCAATGTGAAGTTTTGACACGACTGCACAGAGAAGGGCAGTACCTGCTGAAGCATGCTGGCAGTAAATTGCATTGCCTGGTGGTGCTGTTCCTCTAACATGTCCATGTGCAAGTCATCCAGAAAATCATTTCTGTCATCATCCATCCATCCTTCATCCAGCTATGGGAAAAGGGAGGGAAAAAACAACCCAAATGTTGTCAAAAGAATGAAGACTGACGTAAATTACGTTCCTGCTTTGTGGAAAGTGGTTGGGAAATCTTAGGAGACTCCTTCCTGTGACATTGCTGTCTGTCCTGGGACAGACGTCTCCGTGTGCTAAGTACTGACTGTCCTACGTCAACTCCCCTCCCCCGGCCACCTCCATCTCCAGCAGAATGGTTTTATCTTCAACAACCCTTTATATATGAAACAAAACCGGCTTTTTCCTCTGTGGAAGTACTTCTAAGAGTTGGGGATGGTTTGGTTTGTGCGTGGCTTGATCAGGACGTATAAAAACACTCCAAGGTACATGGCCTGAACGTGCCACTTGCGAGGAAGCGTCAAAGGCCAGAGGGAAAAATCCTGGTCAGTGGGCTGTAAGGCTTTTTGTACTCTCAGCCTCAATTATTCCCAAGGGAAAGATCAGAACCATCCCGGCTCACAGGACAGTCTTGAGCCTGACCCTGTGTCTGCAGGTGCGTTGGCAAGGGTTGCTCTCGCAGCAGGAGGAGCAGAGAGGGATCAAACAGTGGTGCTCAGGGCTGTTTGTTCAACATCTTTGTTGTGCTAATCCCTGCTCTACAAAAGGAACGGTTCAACCTTTCATTCCAGCTGAGGATGCTTCTTGACAGTATTTAACTACATTAAGAGATGGTGTATAAAGGGCTAAGTAATAGGTGTTTTAATGAATGAATAATCAATAGATATAGGAATTAGAGTTCAGGATGTTCTTCAAAGCTCTGGCTTGACACCATCAATAATACCTTGCACTGATGTTTGGAATAGCATTGCAGCATATATAAATCCCTGAACATTTTATAAATCGAACTTCAATATAATAAATATAAGTACTGTGACTGCTGAATTCCATTATTTTAGACTATATATATCTCCAGTCAAACCGTATAATATGTTTTTCGGTACATTTGGTAGATTTAACTAGGTTAAAATTCTTCAAAAGATGCCAACTGCTTTCTACAAAACAGCAGCTCTTTTAATTAAAAAAATCAAGAGAGGGGTTTGTTGTTGTTACAGTACCTGAATTTCTGGTCTTGCAACAAGTAAGGAGATATTCTTGCTCTCTTCACTGGTGAGAAGTGCTACGGCTTCTTCCCGGTTCTGTACTTCTATGCCATTGATCTTTAAAGAAAAGAGCAACACAAGGAAATTGTTTCGTTGGGACTGCCAAGTGTATCAGGATATGTGCTGGAAACTGATACACACTTCATCTGCAGAGTAGGGCCAAGACAGAGCTTTACTGGCCAGGACTATCAAAATCTGACAGAGATATGGCAGAGGAAAGGGAAACGCCCTCAGAAGTGAAAAGGAAGCATTTGAATATCAGTCTGAAGGGAATTATTTGTAAAAATTATACCGAAATAAAGACACTACAGTAAGGTTATCATGTGTTAGCAGACTTAGAAGCGTTTGCACACTTACCTGAATAATGCGATCCCCTTCTCGGAGCCGACCGTCTTTTGCAGCAATACTGTTGGGGTCAATCTGCAAAATAAGAGAACTGTGAGTGCTTTGGAGGTGGTGTGGTATTTCTGGTTGTTACGTCTTGCTTAGTGATCGCTGGACCTGTCCTTGCTACGTCAGACAAACCGAAATGCAAGTTAAAACTATCAAGTCAAACCCAGAACATTTCTTCCTGAGATGTGTCCTTAGAGACCGTAGGTTTATCACGTTTGCGTGATATCCACGTACCTCATAATTCAACATTTAGCTTTACAACACGGGGCTCTGATTAGAACCTGTTTTTGCATATGGAACATGAAGGTTTATGCCCTAAGTGATGCATTTTAATGGAAGATTTTAGATTTAGTTGTGAGTTTTGTTCCCCAAACTGCTGCTACTAATTTGAAATGGATAAAAAGATTGTGGATAAAATGAAGGGGGGCAAAGAGAGACAAACAAGCCTCAAATCTTTGTAAAGAGAAATGTGTGGGGTTTTTTACTTTTTTATATTGTTTCCGGAATAATTTGGAACAAAAGTTGAAAGAGGAATGTATTAAAAATATTTTGAAAATGTCATATGAAATTGAACGGTGAGACTGTTTTAGGGAAAAAATGACCGCTAAATGGTAATATAACGAAATTTGACTGGATGCAGGGTCTCACTCAGTTTGGAGAAAAAGAAAAATAGTTAGATTTCTTCCAAATTACTGCATTCTGGCTGTTTTTTAAATATGGTACAAGCAGAAGACAAATGTCTTAAATGTCCAACACTGCAGTTTAAAAGACAAATTGTATCTTACGGAAATCAGTTCAATCTTACCTCACTCACATAAATACCCATGTCATCTTCATCATCTGTTCTGTAACATACAGTAAGGCCAAGCTTGTCCTGGCTGTTCACTCTATGTAAATCTACTTCCTGCGGTAAAAATAAATAAAAAAAAAACAAAACAAAACAAAAATACATTGTCAATGAGACACGGGTGACTGATGGAAGCAATTTTTCAAATACAATGAAAATATTTGCTTAAGTGATATAGTGGATCTCTTTTCATTTCACTTGTAGACGAGGTTAACTTACTGAGCAAAATGTGATTATATGCAGACAATCAATACCTGGGGCATTTTTGACCCTTCAGTCAATAAGAAGTCGTTTTGAAAACAGACCTTTTATTGATCTTAAAGAAGAAATATTACCTATATTTCATGTAGTGGTAGGACTTCAAACACTAAAATACTTATAAAGTATGATTTCAATATTTGCCACAGCCAATATATATTTCCTCCTAAGCGGGGAAGTTTTCTGGCTTTTCAGAGAAAAATAGTTTTCTATTACCTTAACTTGTGTAATTTTCATGAAATGATGTAATAAATTTCTCAGAAGCGTGACTGAAGATCAATACATTGTCAGCAAAGCATTTGGTATTGGTAATAGAAATATAATAAGCACTTCAATATCTTGCAAGGGTTTGGTTTCAGCAGGTCGTGGTTTATCATTCTCGTGCTCTTTGGTAGTCTTGTTAGTCCTGGAGACATTTAAATACACTTTCTTCTCGATGCTTTTTTTGCCATGAGGACATCACGTGGGTTATTTTTTCCCTATGTTTGCTGCTGCTCTGTGACCTGGGTTGTTACAAGGAGTTGTAAAATCCCTGGAGATACCCGAAAGCTGTGAGATGCCTGTGTCAGGTCCGCATCACGTCCGAGGGACGTCCCGGGAGCCAAGGACCCTGGGGAGCCTGACACCCTTCACCAGCTTATTGTGACTGCTGTGTTAGCCTTGAGGATGCTGCTGTAGGGAGGAAGGATGATTTTTCACAGGTAGAGGAGTAATACTAAGGGTAGTTGTAGTTTTCACTCCCGTTAAAAGAACGTGTGGAGATGAGCAAGGCTTCGGAAGGTCCCGCTCCTCTGCAGCTAACGCCAGGCAGGACGGAGAAGGCAACCGTGGGGCTCGAGCCCCATTGCTGCGACAGGAAAGAGGGGGACCAGGGAGAGGGGACAAAGGGACGCAGGCTGAGAAAGACCCCCCGGCCCGTGCGGGATCCGAGGGTTGGCCCAGCCCCGGCGCGCTCCTGCCTGCACCCGTCCCTTCCAGTGGCAAAGCCCTGATAACGTGACTCATTATTTCTGCGCGTCTCTCCATTTTGACCCGCGCTGTGCCGTTTGTAAAGGGAAAGACAATAAAACAAGCTGATATGAATAATTTATTGGCATGTCTAGATGACAGCTGCCAAGATCAGCAATCTCATGTTATTTACTTGTCAACATGTGTAATTTCTTTTTTTTTCTTTAAAGAAACGTAGCTGTAAATGTCAGTGACATTTCAGATGGTATTTAAATGGTTTCAATCAATAGTATCCATGGTGAACTGCTGCTCTTTTTTCTCCCTCTTTTGTTACTTAAAGGACTGAACACAAGGCTTTAATAGTGGGTTGGTGGTTTTTTTCGGATTTCTAAAAGCTTTTGGGGCTCTCCAGAGAGGAGATGGAAATTCTTCAGAAGAAAAGATGAGAGTGATTCGGTTCTTGATCCCTGGGAACGCTGCTGCAGTCAATGCATTTATTCTGCGTTTTATCATGGTGCAAGCAGGGAATGAGGTGGAAATTTGTGAACTGGGCCTAATTTGGGCCTAGAATGATCCACGTATTTCTTGCAGACTTTAACAAAAAGATTTCATGTCTTCAGGTAAGTTTTTGTATAGTTTACTGATCTAAAAACATGGCAATGAAATAGTGGCAAGGAACTGGTGCTGTAGCTCATTCTACTGTTTGTCATACTGGTAGCGAAAGAAAAAAGTTAAAAAGGACCCCACAAAAAACAAACAAAAAAGCCTGATGACTTTGGCCATTATTTAAATAGATCCTGTGTAAACTTAAATACTTGCCAGCATGTTTTGGAGCGGAAGGAGGGAGCAAGCTCTTAGTATCTTTCTTACCTGCTGCATGTTTTTAATATCAGTAGATGTTTTTTCAAGAGCATACAACTATAAAGGGTATTATTATAATAAAAAAAACCAAGTGTGGTTTTATATTTAAAATGCACCATCTGAGACATCGCCTGTGATACACTGGAAGGTAATAAATGATCTTGTAAATTAAACAGCTTATATTTTAAAAGAAAAGCATATATATATATAGTGTTTACAAATGCACAAATAAAGCAGCCAAAAGCTAAAGCAAACAGAAATTTTTAGAGCAGGTGTTTAGAAGCTGAATTTTTATGAGTAATTATTTGACAAACTTGCCCTTGGGTGCAATCCCTCTAGTCTGTGGTAGGAATAGAATAAGTGGGTTTGATGCTACCTAAATATGATCATCTTGTGAACTTAAAGATAGGAACAGCTGCTTTCTCTGGGTGTTTGCGTCAGTGAAGTTTTAATGTAATCATAAAGGTTTGAAATATTTGAGAGATAAAAGCGTGCAATTCCAGTTGGAGCTGAAGAATCAACACCAGAATCTTCAAAGCAGAAGTTATTATCCATGTTCAGTGTCAAGTCTGTATAATGCAGATACATGAAAGGGGAGAACAGAAAACGGGCACCTGCGTGTACAGATACTACAGTAACTTGTGTAATCGTGCGAGGAACTCATTAAGCACTAGGAATTAATACGGGCCTAGAGAACTCTGACGGAAGTGTGAGTTCACGTGTTTGCAATGTGACAGGACTTGCCGTTTCTTACCCCTCTGCCTTCAGCTCCTGGGCAGCCCAAGGGCCTGATCCTGCGAGGTGGCAGCAGGGAGCCGTGGGGGCTGGGCTGCTGCCAGCACCCCCCTGGCCCTGCTCTGTCACATTCGCCTGCTGCACCGCAGTCCTGAGCTGAAAGTGCGTTTAGTGCTCAACTGGGGCTCAGACACTGTTCTAACGAACTCCGTGTGGAACAGCCACCGACGCTGCAGAAAGGAGACGCTGGAGTTGCTCAGCCCCCAGTTTAGATCTGCAGGAACTAATCAGCAGACACTGGCAGTGTCCGCAGGGCAATGAGGTCAGGGCTGCATTGATATGAGAACTGTGGAAATTTCAAGTTTGATATAACTTTTACACACACAGACGAAATCTTCTTCTTTAGATGAGTTAAAAGTGCTGTTCAAGAGAAGCATTGGTAAGCTATTTCAAAATAGAGTCTGGACACGAGAACTGTCTGAAAGTTTACTGACTCTGTATCAAATGTAGAGCTAAGAAGGGCTCGAAGAGCTACTTGCTGAAATCCATGTGGCATTTGTAGCAAGACAAGAAGAAATGAACATGCACTATGACATTATACCTGCGACTGCTCATAATAACGAATTAGGAGTAAGTGATAATAATAAATTAACCTCCATAAGCTCAGAAGATCCTTCATTTGCAAGAGATTATTGAATTATTGTACTGCTGATTTAAAATTATGGCCTGCCTGCAAATTTATAAATATCAAAGTCCTTTCTCTAACCAGACAGAAATGAGCAGTAGAAATCTGAAAAGAGAGAACAACGATGGGTAAAAACAAGTTCAAATGTTCTCAGAGCATTACTCAAAGTTTGCCCCTTTGTCTCTGTAAAAAGTGGTGGGTTTTTTATTTGCTGACTTCTGACATACCTGACCAGCAGGGCCCATGGTTTTGCTATTCTATTAATGAGTTTTACCCCGACAAGAATGTCAGAGAAATAAATACGAAGAACTCTAGTACTGTGTGAGGCATTCTCACCACTTTTTGGCAACTGACAAAACTGACTTTTCAGAGAAGGAAAGAGGTTTTCTTTCTGAAATTCTTTGCCCTAGAGAAGAAGTAAAAATCTATCTGGAGGCTTCTGTGCCAGCCCAGCTCTATGATGATAATTCTGTGATGGACCAGAGAGACTGGACTAGCTCAAGTCATCAGTGGTACCAGAGAAGATTGAAGAAAAACGCTTCTTACTCTGGTGAAAAGATGTTTAGGATGTCTAAGTAAGGTCCCCTGAAGGATGCCCAGGCTCTTTGCCAAGCAGATTGCCAGTGCTCCACGATTAATACCCTTCTCGTGCAGTAAGAGGTGTTAAGGCCAGGTTGAAGTTCCAGAGAGCTAAGGGAAGACAACCTCTCAGTACTGGCTTGTCAGCAAGCTGAAATGTTTTACCACTTTTGGATTTGTTCCTAACAAAGAACATACAAATATTTGTCTTGGAAACCACAGATGAGAAGCTGAAGGAAGGTACTGCTGCTTAAACCTTGACACATTCAATCATGGCCAGAGCAGGACTGCTGGGGCTGAAGTCCTTTGCATTCAGAGACACAGTAATGCCTCAAGAAGCTCCTGATCAGAGCAACTCCCTGCGCAGTGGGAGCTCTCACTGAGAAGGAATACATTCATATAAAAGATGCTTTCAGATGCTTTACAGCCAGGGTGGAATACAAATCGTCAAGTGCCTGTGATGGAGCCTACTGATTGCCATGTTCAGGCAGTGACCTCTCGCCTCCTCCCCTCCCTTGCAAACAGATCTTTGGAGAAGTAAAAGAAAACTTCCAACTGAAACAGCAAAGTACGCTAAAGGGGAGAGCTTGAAACCCTAGTACTCAGCTTTTATTTATAGTTTCCTAAAAGCAGTGAAGTATTAATTTCAGATTTTGAAGCGTGGATTTTGTTGTTCAGCATGTTCATTCTTTGCTCATCAGACGATGTGGTTTCATGCTGGGAATGCTGTGTGAGCCAGGAGGGCACAAAGCTGGCTGAATGAATCTGCTTGTTCTGCAGGCTTTCGACATGAAGAATTCACTTCTGTCCAAGAGTGAGTGAGAGTATCAGAAAGGAGATTCCTGAGCAGCTACCAAACATTTCCTGTAGATTTTCTTCTCCAGGCTGTACTTAGTCTCAACTAGCCTTTCAGCTGAGTTCAGTTCTCGACTTGGAAAGAAAACAAGACCTACGTGCAAGTTGCATATAGGAAAGGGCAAAGACAGAAAGTGAAACGGGAATGAACAAGGCCCTTGTTTGATATAGAATGTTCTCCTTTGTAATGTGAGAAAATTAACACACTGAGAAATCCCTCACATGGGCTGCGTGCCCGACAGTTGGGCACACTGGTGTGAATAAACATATTAATGCATAATGCTGCTGGGGAATCCTGGAGTGACATTATTCTTCCTTTATGAGCCTGAAATGACTTCTGACTGAGCCTCTGTGAAGAATGAATATACTTTTAATTTATAATCAAATAGTAGCTCAGGATTTAGTCCCTCTTTCCTGTGGCATGCGAACTTCAAAAGACAAAAAAATGATATTTATTTATTTTTGTAGTAGAGAATATGTGGCAGTTAGCCCTGAGTCATCAATTTTAAGATAAATGCTGAGAGATAAAACTGAGAAGACAATCTTGGCACCTTGGCAATGTTTCCAGGATAAATGCCTTCCTATGGATATTTACATTAGAAGCTTGTTGTGAACTTGGGTATTTCACTGTTTTTGTCTTGTTTACTCGTTACAAATCACTAACCAGTCAGTTACAGACCATAAAAGTTTAGATGAGGAGCTTCTGATTTAAATTCAAAGCACATTTTATGGACTGAGAAGCCCAGAAGGCTGACTTGATGGCTTTCTTACTTTAGACATTCCTGTAGCAGTCAATGAAACAGTGCCTTTGTGGTCTTTTAAAACGTATCTATCGAAAGGCAAACAAAAAAGCAACTGGCCAGTTGAGTCCCTGTTAGCACTTTGACCTTACCATTGATCATAGTCTCTACAATTTGAGCAAGAATCTGTAGTGGTTTTTAAGAAATACTATTAGGCTGCAGAGACTTTTCTAACGTTCGTCTCCCTGTGTTACGGAGCCGATCACCTTTTGCCATCAAGTACTATATCAATGTCGAAATTATTAATGTTGTAGGTTAAGGCATATTAACGTCGGGCTACTGAAGTGCCTGTATTTAAACTGTTTTCAGCTCAACTGGTTGACCTTCTAATGGAAGCAGTATAATTTATCCGCAATATTAGATTTCCTGAAAGATAGATTTTGAAAAGATACTGGCAGAAATTACTAATTTGTTCTATGGCTTCCTTTCAGACTGAAATCTATAATGTATTTGGTTTTATTTAATAAAAAAAAGGCACTTGTTTGAAAAGTAAAGCCTTGAAGTCTGCTAAACAGCATTTGTTTTACTGGCACTTTGATTTTTATCCTGCCTTTGATTTGCTTTTGTATATAGAGAAGAATTGCTACCAGATCCGCAGCATTTGAGAACAGCTTGCAAACTTTTTATGGGGTTTTAGTCCTTGATCTTGCAAACTCTTTTATAGAATGGAATGACTTCGTGCTTATAGAACGACTGAACTCTGCTCCCACTGAAGCTGTTGATAAATCTCCCACTGATTTAAACAGAGCTACGGACAGGTCAGCATCGCTCGCTTTGACAAATAAGTGTTAGCAGGACCAGGATCTAAGAAATCAGAATTGGAAGCAAGCTAAGAATAAACTATTCACTTACTGATAATCTTGAATGGATTAGCTGGGTCAGACATTGCTGGCAGTATTTAGAAGTATTGAGATACTCGAATGCTATTTATTACAAACGACTAAAAGCACTTCAGTGGGTCAGTACAGCTGAAGTATCTTGCAGAGAACTAGGGCTCATGATTTATATGCTGCACTCTGACTGGTTTGGAGCAGGTTATTAAAATTAAGGATGAGAAAACTGAAGATGAACTTTTGATGGGATATGAAAGTACTAAAACCACAAGTGATTTTTAAAGATTTGGCAGGAAAATGGACTTACTTCATGATTGGTTCAGCTTTTATTATCTATAATTTTATGTGTATACATATGCAACTTCTCAGTAATGAAGAAGGGAGGAACAGCTTAGTACAGTGGCAAATCTATTCTGGTCTTGTCTTGTAAACTTAAAATACTTCTAAGTTATATGATCAAGAACATCTGTTTCTCAGCTGGGGAATATTTAAGGGAAACTCGCACAGTTTTACCATGACTATGTGGAACAGGTCCTGCCACTCAGTAACCTTGCAAAGTCTTTCACATTTTCAGAATCTCTAAATGAGCACAGTTAGACAGAATTTAATTAGCGGAATCAATGACTTCGCTATTTATGTTAATTTGTTAGCTGAAGATTTGGCTCATCAGTCCATGGTGCACAGTTAAATACACTGCTAAAGGTATCAGTAAGGTTTGCAAGGTGCAAAGTAACTAACGAGCAATGTTATTATAAATACCTGCTTTGAAATGTCTTTTTATTTTATATACGATATAACAACTGTGATGTGCATGTTATAAACTGTCAGTAAATGAAATAAGTTACTAAAGACGAGGTACCTCTAATTCCAACTCATCTCGGTCCATTTCTTGATGAATTCCTCCCATGTAGTCATTTGGGTCATAGTATTCATGCACTGATGGATGGCTGGGAAAAAAAAGGTGTGTTTCAGGACAGCTCTCAGTACTCTAGTTAGCACATTAATCCATTCCAAGCTTATCGCAGGTCATCGTGAACACGATGGACTAACGACACCAAGAAGGTGCTTGTTGTTAATTATATACAGTAAACCAGTTACGCCAATAAATGAACTAAACAAAACTGATCTATGTTGTAAAAGGCGTCTAAAACATTTGGCACCTGATGATCAATGAGAGACTTGTAAGGACTCTTAGCATTTATCAGCTTTTTTTCTCCAAATGTAAAGCTGACTTGAGTTGAAAGACAGAATAGCAGCAAAGTAAGGTAAGGGGTACCAGGGGATAGCTAAGTAGGCAGATACTTGCCAGGGTTCAAGAGGAGAGGGAATACCAGGTCATCTACTTGTAAACTCAGGTAATTTGCAGACATGCAAGTAAAATAATTTTTGCCTAGCTGCTTGGAATTTTTACTTTACCTTAAAGACAAAAATTTTAATCAAATGACTAAATTTTATAAAAATAGTTTGCCACCCAACTACTTGGATCAGCAGCATTCTGTTGATTGATTTGAATGCAGTGGGCTGCGCACGATGATTTAAATACTTCTTAAATATGCACTGTTCTTCATATTGCCATTTGCTGCTGGCATGCTGCTTTTTCAACTTGAGCTTTATGACACTTTCACTGTCTGCACTTTGGAAGTTGTAAGCGGTGTAAGGCTCTTGTGATCGCTTTTTTCTATGCTGGATTTTTTTTGTGCAATAAAAGTAAACTCCCTTTAATGCTCTGTTCGCTAGACACATGTTTCTCTAAGTGTGAGGCTGTTTACCTAACAGCATCTGGTAACTGGCTAAGATACCCAAGCTGTTACATGTGGGCCAGAGTAATTTGAATGGGATTTGGAGAAATTGCAGGAAGCAATAGGAAAAAATGAATTGGTTAGCTTGCAATGCTGGGTGACAGCATGCTTGGGTATCCAAGTGACTGCCCCTGTAGGCAGGGATAGCTGTGAGGCAGCCTTCATGGCTGAGACCATCTGCAGCTCAGCGTCACGCTGGCTGGCGATGCTGGCTGTTGTCTAACGACTCATGTGCGATATGAGGTTACTTGACAGGACTGAGCTGGTGTCATACAGGTATGTTGCAACCGCTCTGGTCCATCACAAATTCATCTTTGCCATTTTCCTAAGGTAATTGTTGTTGCAGTTGGAAAGTTGGAGTTACTGAAAGCCTCTCTTGCAAATGTGGTTGGGGGGGTGTGGTACGGGTGCACTGCGTGTCCTCTCCACAGTGCTCTGTGTCCTGCTGCTTCTTCACAGCAGCCAAGCTCAAAGCTATAGCTTTTTGTCAGACGTTTCCAGTCAAACGTGCAGCTGAGCTTGAATTTCGAATGGGCTGGGAGTAGGTGGCCATGCAGTAACATCCCATGGAACCATCTTTCAAGTAATCAGCACTGAGAGGCACGAAAGGAACAGACATTGCCCACAGAAGCCCCATTCCTGGCTGAATGTGTGAATGTTAACGTGCTGCGAGAGTCACTTAGGAGCGGCAGAGGATCGGTGCCTGTTTGTAGTCAAAGCCCATTTCCTAGGGGCGCTGGCAGGGCTGTGGGCAGAGGCACACTGCGCTGCGTTTGCGTGCCCGTCGACGGTCACAGCGCGGGCTGGCTGGGAGCTCTCCTTCCCCAGCCATGCTGCATGGCCAGGAGTGCCTGTTGCTGCGTGTGGGATGGGCTCAAACCCAGGTGCTGCTGTGGATTGACCGGATCACGGTCTCTCCCACACAGCAACGGAAACGTTTGAATCCTTTCTCTTTCTTTTTTTCCCGCGGGGAGACGCGTGGCAAGATGAGAGGCAATTTGCACAGGTTCCTTGGGGAGCTTTTTTCCTCTTGAACAGCGTGTGAGGGTGTGGTGTGTGTGTGCCAGGAGATAATTGTCATTTTTATTTGTAAGTACAAAAGCATCAAACTACCATTAACAATAATTAAAATTTGATTCTGAAACATCCATGACAGCCCTGGTAAGTAATTTTCGTCCTCGAAAATAATTTATTTGAGTAACATTGCTGCAGGGTTATAATAAAGTAATTAATACACTGGAACAGAATGTAGCAACTCTTAGCATTACACAATTTATGGCGGCTATAAAAAATAAAGTTAAAACATAAGCAACCCAAAGAGGCAGTGAGTGGAATTACAAAAAGCGATGACTTTATCAATCAAATGCCAGCAAAAAATGAGCTTTATGAGGCCATGTTGTGACTCAGTGGCATTACTCATGTGAGTAATGGCTTGCTAATGTATAGCAAAAATGGAAAGGTTTTGATTTATGGCTCGGTGGTGCCTGAATCTCAGCTACTTCCTGGAGTAAGTGTTCACCTGAAAGTAAAGGTGAGTTTGTGAACTGCTTCTAACATGCTACATTAAGGAACGCAAGGATTTTCAAGGGCTTCACAAACTGTTACTTACTCTTCAGGTAGGAGGTATGGGTCTAGCACAGAGACGGGTGGAGTGGGTGAGCCCATCTTGCTCAGAGCCATGATGTGTTCGAAAGTGATGTCGGTCTGTGTGCCCACGTCTACCAGCTGGGAGTCGTGAGGAGGAGCGAAGGCCTTGGTGCGCGGGGCTCTCCTCAGCACCTGCACCACGATGGGCTCCTTGGCCGTTTTGAACGCTTCCACCGCCTGCTCGTGTGTCGCTCTAGATAAATCCTTCCCATTGACCTGCGGGAAGAAAAGCCAGCAAAGCAGTGAGAGGAAGGGTCAGAAGGTGGAGGATGGCTGTGTTGGTTTTGGCTCTTAATTTAGGAGTCTCAGATTCCATCTAAAGGCATAGGGAGCAAGTACTAGGAACTATTTGCCCAGTGTTATGCGTCTCATTTTCTTCCTTCACCACCGAAAGCTTATGAATCCTGTGCTCTGCTTTTTATTTGGGTAGTTGGATTTTACTGGGCTTATTCTTTGAGCTAAAGTACAAGCCAGCATCCCATTTGTTTCTGGCAGATTAAAAACTCCTCAGCCCTTGTTCCAACAGAACAAGTTATTGATTCTCCTATAATTTTTCTAGTTTTTGTTTGTTTTTTTTTTAACCATTTTGCCACACAGAACTACTGGGACAAGATTCGAAATTACATAAATATGTATCTGTGTCTGATAAACAGTTTTTCAGATGAAACGTGATGGTGGTACCCAGTCACTGCAATAAAACCTGCATTTTAGGGATGGCATAGGACATCATACTGAGATAGCAGATAGAAATAATAAGGGAAAACCAGTCATGGGTGTTATGTTCAAAATAACTTTTTGTCTGTGTGGCTCAGCCATAGCCCATCCCCAGATTTCACCACCACGATCTCCTGGTTGGTGAATACTTACATATAACAGAACAACTTTACAAAACACATCTGAGAGACCCCACCAAGAAGTACCAACACTGGATGTGCCAGGCCGTGGAGGATGGAGGTCTGAAAAGAGAATTTGGCCACAGATCCTTCCTATCTCAAAGCTTCTGTTAACGGCAGCATAACCAGAAAGAGGCATTCAATTCTATCCACACTTTCAAATCGTTGGCAGGCAGAGGTGTCCTTCCTGATACAGAGAGAGGTCTTGAGTACTCCTAACCCACTGTGGTTTGCATTTCACTCACGCTTCGCTTCCTTCCTCACATGGTTTCTAATGATTCTTCCACAAGTATCTAAGTCTACCCAGGGGCTGTGAAAGCGATGAGGTCATATTTGTCAGAATTTTTATAAAGCTTCAAAGTTCTCATTTCAAGTTTTAGTTCGTGAAAAATTTTAATGTTTCTGTGTGTCTCCGACTGCACGGATTGTAATTTTAAGGGAGCTAAACACAATGGAGTGAACTGAAAAAAAGCAACTGTGGTGAAAAGACTGAATGTGCTTCTCTTTCCAGCCTAACGTGGAGATTTCTTTTGAGATTTGTCCTGTTTTCTGAGACATCTGCAAATCTGAAAGCTCTGTGGGCTCACAAGCAAAATGCTCTGTTACAGAACTAATGGGAACCACCGATAACTCCAGTAAAATTTTTTCCTCTTTTAACCTGCAAACTGTTGGGATTTTAACACAGATGAAAAGAAGCAATTAAAGAGAAGCTGCCTAGACCAGTTTGTTTGCGAAGGCGATGTAGTGAAATTAAGATCCTAAAGCGTCACGCGGTCATGTAATTTTTACTCTGTTCTTAGGACTGGTGTCAGTGTTTGCTGACTACGTGTAGAGATAAGGGGCAGTTCCAGATTTGGAGATGCTGCTAGCACTGACAGTGAGGGCCCCCCTCACAGCAGTGCTCCTCACCAAGGACCGCACTTTTTTTATATACTTTTCTTTATGAATGATGTATTATACTATTTCCAGTCAGGCAGCTATTCGCTTGAGAAAGCACATTACTGTATCCGTAATCAGAGGTATGAGTTGCATGGTGGAAACTGTTGCCTTCTGCATGGACGGGCATGGCAGAGGGGTATTTTTTTTTCCAAGGCATAAAAATAATGACTTGCCTTGTTTGGACATAGATGCCATAGTGTCTAGCCTCGGGTGTTAGTGGGGGCTGCTGCTTTGTCATTCAATCATTGTCATACATGTCAGCACACTGATGTGCTGACTCTGCCGCATTAACTTTTTGAAAGCAACTGGAAACTCTCAAATATGTCCAGATTATGCTATCCTGACCTGTATCAGATCATGCGTATTCACCTGTGCTCTGCCGTGCTTAGTCCCGTTCCAGCGGGGCAACCGAACGAGTAACATCACTCAGTGTAGGAACTGAGTTTAGCCCCTCCTTACTACCGCCCGCAGCAAAAAGGGGGTTAACTCGAGTGCAGACTAGAGTGGAAAGGCTA